GAGAGAGAGAGAGAGAGAGAGAGAGAGAGAGAGAGAGAGAGCGAGAGAGATAGAGGTAGAGAGAGAGAGAGAAGAGATAGATAGAGGTAGACACAGTCTCTTTTCGTTGCCTGCTCAGCTCAAGTACGCATTCATAGGGCGATATGTCGTCAAACTAAACAGTTGCAGTTTACAGGGTATCATACGAGTCGCTACACTCATGGCTCTGCATTCTCATTGCTGTGTGACAGCAATTATCGCCCATAACTTTGGCCATTGTCTGACTTTGAGCTGAAAACTTTGTTTCAACGCCTTGCATGGGAGCTCGAGAGTCCTTGCGCTTAACTGGGAGAATAGAGAGCGGGACGGGGTGGGGGCGTGGTTTGTTTGAAAGCGTCTGCATGAAAGAGATAGACCATAAATCAGACAGCGCCAGCTTTGCTCAATGAAACATATTGAAAAGTTTTGTTTGCTTGGCGATAATTATTAAGAATTTGCTTTCAGCTAATTGAAAGAGTTGCAAGTGAAGCCAGTGCTCAGCTATCAGATACCCTGTAAACTATGCATTGAGCTGGGATTTACGATTTGTCTAGATTTTTTTCACTCCAGGAATGTTTAAGAAATGAATGTTTTACATAGCATATACATGTACATATGTATATAGTTATAGTCTTGGTATTTCATTGAGAGGGTGCATAGAAGAGGTTTCTCTATATACATTATATATTATACGATAGCAGATACTTGCAGTTCGTTTTGAGTTCTGTTCCGGAATGTTTATATGTTCAATGAGTGGTCCTTGAGTGGGTATATTTGTACATTCGAATGCTCATTGGGCCTTAAGCTGGCACTTGGAGGAGAAAGTCTCTACACTGGAGCTCCCTCACTGCGGGCCAGTCTATATATAAGCCAACGATCGTACTACAGCACTCATATAAGGTTGAGAGTTATGGAAATACAGCGACACATTGTCACAATGTTCATGGGCGTAATACTCTAGCTCTATTTGGGCATATGCCCATCGTATTGTAGGGTATACAATATCTGATGTCATATCTGATGGTCATATATGATTGTATGTACTGCAATATGATGAGCATATGCTCCATTATCGCCTTGAATTTCTTGAAATATCTTTGCTTCGCAATTTTCCCAGTTTTTAGCTTCAGATGAGCCTAGGCTCGCCTAGAGATTGCAATCTATATGGCTAGAACTGCTCTCTTTAACACTCAGTTGTAGTAGGAGTCATTTACTTGAGCCTCATTAAAGTTGCCTGGATTCGAGTTATGTAGAGCCTTATAGAGCTTTAAGGATCTAATCCGATTTGATTTTGTTAACTCATTCTGGTAACTTATTGAGTCTACTTCTAGGCGATCTCATTGCGTAAAGAATCTTTGATCTTTACTAAAGATCATAGGCTGGAAGGCTGTTATAAATTATGAGTGTACAAGCTATATCGCAAGCCCATATACCCGCTCTTGGCACTGGCTGAGCGAGCATATGGCTTAGACACAGATGCGTGCATGACTCATCTTAGCTGGCTAACACGTTCAAGAGGCAAGAAATTTTATAGTATGCAACTAGAATATGACAAAAATCTGCCCTCTCTGTCTCTATATATATCTCCCTCTCTCTCTTTCTCGCTCTCGCTCTCTCCCTTGTCTAGTTTTATCAGGCAGCTAAAAGTTAAAGTTCGCATCAAAAATTTTGTGGCTGCGCCTGTTGCGTATTGGCCATAAAAACAAGCGCATATAATTAATGAAAGAGATGGAACAAGAGCGAGAGAGATGGAGATAGGGAGAGAGTGAAGGATTATTGTTGCCACATTTGGCGGCAAATGAGCTGTGGCATATGGGGCAAGACAAGACGCGGCCAAATGTGCTTGGGCTCTACATTAACTATTCCAAGACGATTATGCATTTGTTATGCATGCATGCGATGCGGCATGCGGCATGCGGCATGCGGCATGCGGCATGCGGCATGCCACCGAGCACCAAATGTCACATTCCCAGCAATGGCCCATAAAAAGGTCGTTAAACGTTGCCGCCTTTGACAACTTGTCAGTTGGCAAATGCAACCACTCGAACGTCTCGAACCACTTGAAGCCCACTTGATGCCCACTCCACCACCCGCCGCCGCCGCCGCCGCCGTCTCCTGCTGCCCCGCGAGATCCTATATTATCCGCACTTAGCCACAATAATTGCTAATTAATAATTGAGAGGTGCATGCATTCCATCTACCGAGGTACTACCACACACACACCCCCTCTCCCTCCCCCCCTTCCTCCCATCGCCCCCCGCCTGGCACCTGTCACCTGTTCACTCACCTGTTCGCACGCATTCCTGTGTCATGCAGATGTTGTTGTGAGTGCCATCCAGGTTAAAGCTGCCATCGCCTGTAATTAGAGAGACATTTCAACTGAGTTCACACACACAGATATATACAAACACACACACACACACACATACACACAGACTCGCGTCGATTTAAAAACCACTCAAGTAAATTAAATTTGAATTTTACATTTAAAATGATTTTGCACTGAGTAGAGTCCAAGTGCAAGCGGCACGACTAATAAATACCCTGGGAAAAAGTACAAAATGGCACAAACCAATTGATGGCTGGACTAACTGAATGCTTGTCAAGGCAGAAGACGCCTAAAGCACAAGCAGATCTAGGATTTATATGGAAAACTACGAGTGAACGACTAGTAAATACCCTGGAAAGTGTGCTAAGAGCAAAATATAATTGTACTGCACCAGTGATTGCTATGATTTAAAGCACTTCTAGTATCATATATATTTAATGATTGAAAAATATTGACTACTTGATACCCTATAAAAAAATTGACGCTGATGGATTGATTGACTGATGGGATCTGAAAAGGCTATATAAAAGATTGAAAGCACATGCAATGATGGCCCTGACATTGTATTACTAAAGAAAACTTACAAGATGTTGACTAGTTGATACCCTATACGAAACATGAATTCACTAAATTATAGACTGATTGATTGATTGAAGAAGTAGTTGAATATTATAATGGCCGAAATCCTGTCTAGCGACTAGAACATACCTTATAATAGAACATTGGCTCATACAAACTGACTGGCTAAATATTAAAATTGATTCAACTATGAACAGTTTCAAAAAATGATTGATTGATTGATTGTTTCTATTGACTCTGCAAAGTCAAATGAGAAATTCTCCTCATTATGGTTTTTAGCGTTTCCTTAGAGGAAAGGACTAAATGATTGACTGCCTGACAGATTGATGGGCCAACTCCACAGCTTGGCTAACAAAAATGGAATTGATTGATTGATTGAACAAGAATTGAAAACGATTTTTAGCCCTTACGATTTCCGAGCACTCACTCTATTGACTTGCTCTACAAATTCTGTGTAAACTCTTGTATTTTGCTAACCTAGATGATTGCTAGATATACCAGTACACCTGTTCTATCTCTTTGCCTTCTGTTCCCTTAATTTAGCTGTCATTTTACTGTGAATGAAGGGAACGACAGCGTTTTAGCGATTGTGTCAACATTGCGGTCGATAGCTCATCGATTGGCGTTTGGACACACGCCACATGTTGCACGAGTCCATTTAATTATTGGCGAAATTAAATAGCCCAATGACTGAACGACAAGTCCCTAACTTTCCCCTACCCCAAAGCACTTTATATTTTGGTAGTGCTCATATCAAATTGGTATTTGCTGTGATATATTGCCTATTCACAGCTTTTACATTGAGGTACTATAAATCTGGTAGTCAACCAAAGAGAATGCTCTACTTTCTCATGCCTAGGCTTTGCTTCTGGATGCGTTAGTATGAGATTGCTTATCCCTAACTCGCCTCTACCTCCCCATTTATCGTTCTGGTTAGGTTCCTTCCTTTCCACAGCTCTTAGTGAATCTCCTATCTCTGTTTCCTTTACAATTTTTTGCATCTTTTTGGTAGGTGCCTTTCAGCGTCTTTCCTTAGCTTCCTAAGAGCCTTAGATAGGTCTCCCTATGCCTGCTTCGCTTTATCTCTCATTCGTAGCTGATCTGATTTCGCTTTATCGAGCACTTTCTGCTTTCCTTAGCTCGAATTTTATCCGTTCTACCCCATGACCCTACCCAGGCACCCCCCTTTCCCTTCCACTTGTCACTCTAGCTTGTCTTGCCCTCCAGCTGACGCTGTACACGGACTTTGAGAACTTCCGACCCATCATCGAATAGGTTGAGGCTAATTGCTAGCCATCAACGTCTAGGCACTAGGTAAAGGACTTAGCCTAGGTAGGACTAGCAATGTCCTTCTAACCTTACTTACTCATATACCATATTAAAGTGTCTAAATGCTCTATATATATGTACATATGTATGTATATGTGTATGTATACATAGACTATAAAGTCTCATAATAATCAATTACTTCCAGCAATAATAACCAGAGCGGAGCCCGTCTAGGGGTAGAGCTCTACGCTTGGCCTAACTGACATCAAGTATTTATAGAAATTGTTGTTTATTTTTATCGAAAAAAAAAAGAGGTAATGTGTGTGTGTGTGTATAGGGCTTTGATGCTGGTCAAAGTAAAAATGAAAAAAAAAAAAAATTTTTATATATATTACGAAAAAGATGAATGAATATTTTTGTTATTTTGGCGCTAAAACGCACGTTTTACAACACACAAGTGTGTGCGTGTGTGTGTGTGTGTGCCATTCAATAAGGGCGCACAAGCAGGACACAAACACACACACACACACATACACACACACACACTCATATAGAGCCAGAAATCGATTACAACAAATTCATAGGCGAATTGATTGGTTTTCTGTCCAAAATGAAAAAAATGAAAAAAAAAAATACATTGAGCGAGTGTTGCTTAATGTTCTAGATAAAAAGCCGCCTAGCTGATGGGCGTGGTCAACAGGTCTGGCACCTTCAAGCACGGCTAAGCAATGCGGATCGTATGTAATTTCATTGTTAAACTGAAAATGCTTTAGCCACAAAAGCCAACTCAACTCAAGTTGGTGTCAATGTTGTTGTTGTTGTTGTTGTTGTTGTTGTTGTTGCTGGTTGTTGTTGTTGTTGTTGTTGCCTGTTGTTTGACATATTTTGTAATTGAATTTCGAAACGCGCGCGGAAATGAAAGGCGCCTACAGCAAACTGGGCGATGGCTTGGGTTGGCTGGCTATTGCTGCTGCTCCTGCTACTCCTGCCGCTCCTGCTACTGCTGCTGCTGTTGCTGCTGCTGCTGGCATTTGTAACCACAGCCAAAGCCCCAAACTCCAAGCGGCAGCCTGTTGCTGCCTTTTGCCTGCTGCCTGTTGCTGCGTCCTGTTAAAAGGAAATTGGAAAAACTCAACCCTGCGCGGAGCATTTCGCATTGCTCATGAAACTGGGCACACTCACACACACACACACACGTATAATACATAAATAGAGCTATACCACATCTGGAGAAAGTCTATGAACTATATGTGCAGCAGTACTGCCTTCTCCTCCTCCTCCTCCTCTGATTTCAGTTGTCAATTCGACTTCATCTTTCTATATGTACATCCAAAATATACCATAATTTAGATAGTCTAATTGTTCTTTAACGTATTATATAGTCGAGCTGTACTATCTCATAAGAATTATAGACGTAATATGCTTTAACAAATGCTCTAAAGCTAATTTCCCGAGTATTAATATATAACTACATAGATATAGCATTACATCTATAGAAATGACCCTATATACAGCCTATATATATCATATATATGTCCAATTCGCTTCATATATGTATATTATACTCCATCATATTTCTTTTCATATATTCCATTATATTATATACATTATATACATATATATATATTATATACATATATATATTCTATGTATTATATACATATATATGTTATATATATTATATACATATATATGATTACGATAAGCACATCTATATCTATATGCATATCCTCCATCCCATAAGCTCTTCATATAGTAACTTTCATAAGCCTTAATCTTCAATCTCATCAGCTTTAGACCAGCTCTACATAAATTACTTTCCTAAACTGTTTGGAGTGATATTCTCTATATATGCATACCATCATATAATCTGTGTTCTACGCTCTACTTTTGACTTCTTTATGTATATGATGACTTATTTTGTCAGTCCTATATTTACCTATCTATTACATCAAATACTTGGTATACCTTAGCCTCTGTCTAGTTTCCTTATGCTCTAGTATAACTATCTCTTAGTATAACTCAATATTATCTCCATGTATCAAAGTTATCTATGCATATCTACAATATTATGTCACTTGACTGCCTTAGGTTATATAGAGAAGACTTCGTTTTACGTATTATTACTATGTATGTATTATATACCAACTGAATACCAACTTATATAGAGTTATAACTCTACTATGTAGCTCTATATACCCTATATACATGCCCTATATCATATATGTACACCTCCTCTGTCATATATTCCATATGACATCATTCTAGCTATATCAACTAATTTATCTTCACTTCTCTTCCAGCTCTGACAAGAGTTAGAGTATTCCAGCTTCGATATACATATATGTATCTTTACCATTCACACCATTCTCTCCCTCTCCCTCTCCCTCTCCCTCTCTCACACGACAAGTGACAACGGATGCGCCGTTGATTGCCTGGTGACCCAATTCCGATCCGTTCGCATTGTTCATTTCGCTTTGGCTCACCTGCATCCTGTGGCCCGCTGCGCGGATGGAGCTGGCATCGCTGATGGACGCTGGCAAAGTAGATGGCCAGGGCACCGATGGCCGCGCCCAGCACGGTGAAGGCGATGGCCAGGATCAGTAGACGGCGCCGATGCTGCGCCTCCTTCAGCAGCAGCCAGTCGCTGGCAACGGCTGGAGCTGAGGCAGCCGGAGCCGTACCGGAGGCGGAACCAGGAGCTGCTCCCACAGCTACAGCCGGCGCATTGCGCTGCAAGGCGCTGCCCACGGCGCCACTGCCATCGGGACTTAGGAAAACCACCGTTGGTAGCTTAAGTTGTTGCTGTGGTGGCGGCAACTGTTGCTGCTGCTGCTGATGTTGCTGCTGTGCTGGCAACAGTTGCGGCAACTGTGGCAGCTGCTGGCCGAGCAGCGGCGAGACCGCCGTCGAGCTGAGATCCTCGTGCGCGTTCGCCTGCAGGTAGCCATTGTTGAGATTGGGCCGCTCGTTGTTTGGCTTCGTGGGCGCTTTGCCAGCGGTGGGCGTGGTGGTTAGCATATCGCACAGCCCTACCCTGCCCTGCCCTGCCCGACTGCCCGACTCCATGCGAGTGTCCGCCTTCCTATCTGATTACGATTTACGCGTCGCACCTGTCCGCGGCGCGGCCTTTAATCCCCTCAAGACTCACAGCAGCAACTGCGATGTCGGCACTAAAACGAGACCGAAACGAAAGAGATATAGGTATAGCAATAGAAATCGCAATCGAAATGAAAATCGAAAGCAAAGGCAAGAGAAAACCAAAAAAAAATCGATCTATCAGCGATCGATATCAAATCGATTTCGAAGCAGAAAACTGTCTGCAGGGTATCTGGGTTGGGTGTACATCTATTCCTGCAGTATTCAGTTTATCTACTTCATCTTACCAACCCAATTCATACAAAAAATGCAGCTCTACAGGGTAGGCTTTAGTCGTGCATAGTCTTAAGTGAAGTAGACTACATGTGGAAGACTATATTGAGGAAATCGAGTAAGAGAGAGAAACATTTACGGAATAAGAAATTGTTTAAGGATTCCAGGGAATAGTTTAGGGATTACAGGGTATCTGTGTTTGGTCAAACCTCCCTATAGAAACCCAACCACACAAGAATGTTGGAAGTTGGCCTATGCCGACATTAGTTTCAATTTAACTCCGGGGTATCTATAAACTCTTATCAAAAATATTTCTCATTTCTATGCCTAATCATTTTATTACGCATTTTTCTGTACTTTACAGGGTATATATGAGTTGTGCATACTCCACAAAGCCCAAAAAATTAAAAAAGATTCTTTAATATGAACTGATTAATGATTCTCAATACACTACGAGGTATCTGTTATTTGTGCATACCTCGCAGCGGCAGTAAACTATTTGCCAATCAGCATTTACGGGGTATCTTGTAGTCATGCATGTGCGCACAATACAGCCAGCTTCAGTGCAAATGTATCGAAAGTGATTTTCGATAAGTTTTTATTGCCCGATAAATAATAAATGAGCACACGCCACAAATTTACAGGGTATCTAAATGTAAATAATGAAGTGCACGCCACATATAAGGAAATTCGAAATTATTTAGAATATTTTCTCCGCGTAAAAGTCAATTTTTCGCCACATGGAACACGAAATTGAAACAGTAATTATGCGAGAATACCCCTAAGCGATTATTAATCAATGCGAAACTAATTCAAGTAACCAGAACTTGCCGGTGGATCACTTCCTTCTCGGCACGTAGACGCGGCTATCCGAATAGCTAAGCCAATAATTATAGTTTTAATTGTGGTTGTAAAGTTTTGACCAGTTAATGAGCTATACGAGACGCGAATAGATTTATGACGCGAAAGAAAATCTGTAAATTGTGAGTTCGTTTACTAAATATCATTCATAAAATTGTAATATGTGTGACTTCCATTTGCCCTTGGCCACATTGGAGCGATTCGCAAGCATGTGTGTGTGTGTGAGTATTGAAAGCTGTAGTAGGCTAGCTAATACCCTGTTGCTGCTGTTTTAAGGTAAATTAGTTATTTTTTTCCATTGTGCATGATCTCTAAATATACCTGATATTATATCTATATATAATATGTGCATAATACGTCAAACAAAAGTTATCCATATAAAATAAAGATTATTTTAGTAAAATAATTGTATAAAATTGATGAAAAATATGCGAATGATTTGATAGATGGGCATATGAAGCGATACATATGTGTATAGATAGACAAATACAAAGATACATAAAGAAATAGATAGAGCAGGCTTTAGATAGTATTTAGATATATTGATAGCAGATACATAGATGTAAACATGGATAGACAATGGGATATATGAACATAGCAATACAAAAAAAAAAAAAAATGTATATATATAGATAGATAAACAACATGTAAGAAAACTCTAATCGAGACTGCTCGACTAGGAGTTACCCTGAACCCTCCAATCTGATATTCTTCTCACTCTACACTTTCATTAAAATTTGGAAGCTCTAGCTCTAAAGGTGTAGAAGATATAATAAAATAACTAGCTTTCGATAAGGTTTTTAATCGATAATAAAATATCGGGAGTAGTTATCGATTTTTAGTGATAAACTTGATATGCGCGTGATATACACGGACCTAGGAAAAAAAATTTCAAGTCTCTAGCTCTTATATCTTCTGAGATCGACGCGTTCA